CAAGGAGGCCAGGAAATGCCCCTAAATTGCATACCATTTCAATGGACTTTCCTCTGGAATTTCATGCATATGAATACAAGTAATATAGACGTCACAAGAAGTTTCGCACAGAAAAAACTTGTTATGAAAGGCACTCCGAGCCAACCTACGTTAACCTGTGTCAGTTTTTTTGGATTCTAGCTTCTATTCAAGAGTTTCAAGAGTTGTGAAATGCGGTGAAAATCAAAGTCTATTATAAATTTTTATCAGTGCAACATTTAAAATCTAACTTTTTAGGCTGGTCTAGAGTTTATTTCTTGAGTCTATTTTACTTTTTGTTGGATAGTCCAGTTTTGTTTAAAGTTATCAACCGTTTCAACATGGCTGCTAACAGAGCGAGAGAAAGAAATTGCAGACCAACTGAACGACCTGGGACCGATAAACATGCCTCAGTTTGCTGCACAAATGATTTGTTACGTGTTTTCGAGGACTATTTTGTTAACAGAGGCATCGACAATATGTGGAAGGCTGTGAGAGTGAATTATGGTGAAGAAATCAGTGTGCCACTGAACAGCCACGCCCACCTTCTGTAACTACAACTCTTATTACAAATGCTTCACGACTCTTACTAAAAGTAAGGAAGAAATTCCTTCTCCTCCCTCCTCTGGTAAGTTATAGCTCGAGTCAACTAAATTCTCGAATCTTTCTCAAGACTTTATGAATAGTACGCAAATTATAGTGTAGTAAGCCAGCCATGGTTGTTGAATACAATCAAGCGATGAATGGCTGTGACACAGCTGACCAAAATATCTCATATTATGGTGTGCCTGAGCCGTGGTCTAAAAAACGGCGGTAGAAGATTTTTTCTGGCTGATAGAAATCTGTAAGTCAATGCACATATTCTCTACACTCTGGCACATCCCATCGACAAGCGTGTTGAGCTTCGTAAGTTCAAATTTATGTTGGTGGAAGGAATGGAGTTCAGCATTACCCTGAACAATGTGGATCCTGCTCAACCAGTTGCATTTGAACGCTTTGACACATCCAAGATATCATCTGATCCAGTATCACTGAAGGGACCGAAATTGTGTTGGGTGCAGCGGACAAGGTGGGGGGCGCAAAAGAACAGTTTTTGTCTGCTCAGGTTGTTGTGACAGACCATTTCTGCATCCAAGGGACTGTTTTTATAATTATCACACTCACAGAAATGCTCAGTGAGAATATTCTTCCTTTGTAAATAGTGTACTGTGTTGTGATTATAATGTAATTGAATACTCCAAGAACGTCGATTCCTGGAACAGGACTTCCGGAGCAGGTTAACCCTTAGCCTCCACATCGTGCCATCAGCGTTGTATACCCTAGTGACTGCTTAACAACCAAAATCATTCTATTATAATTATAAGTCATAGTGAACTGCCCTTTGAGATGCGCATTAAATATCAAAAGCTACTTCCTTCAGTGTCCTTTCTCAGCCTTTTGCTGGAAAATTTACGGTGCGAATACTCAGTCTCGTGTTGTAAATCAAAGTGATGGCATCTCCCAGTGACATCTCTATTTTTTGTCACGATGACGACTCAGGAGAGGAGTTTTCTGATGATGTTGGTGATGCTTCCACTATAAGTTACACTGTAGGAGGATCTGAGGAAACAAGTAGTAGTAGGTCTTCGTCTCCTGTTCCTTTGGTTGGTGATAATGAGCCTAGTTCTAGTACTACGACAGCGAAGTCGAGACCGACGCCTGGGCCTGCACGTCAACAAGCCAGTAGATCTAGGCCTACAACTAACCATGCTGGTCATTGTTTGCGACTCTTCAGGACGCCTCAACTGGTGCTGTCAGCACTGTTGTCGAGAGTTGACGTGGTTTTCCAGCTGAGCTGAAGCGCTCAAACCTAAATTTGAGAAAAGGAGATGACCCTGTATTTTACAGGTCTAACAACATGGTCGCCCTCTCCTGGCACGACACGAAACGCGCGAACCTTCTGAGCACGATCCATACCAACAATACAGTGCACAAGCGCTTTCGTGCGAAAGATGCCCCAGGTGGATACAGGTCTGTCGACAAACCGGTCATAGCGGAGACGTACAACTCGTTCATGGGTGGTGTGGACCATTTTGACCAGTTGATGAAGAACTACGCTTATCCACACCGCAACCATAAATGGTACCATGCCCTGTACCACTACCTGAAAGACCTTTCTTGGCCAACGGCTGCATCATCATGGTGTGAGATGGCCATTCGATATCGCTAAGGATTTCTGTAAATCTGTGGTAGATGCCCTCATTCGGCCTCACATGATTCAGTAACAGAACGACAGACACCAAACGAACAACGTTGTCGATCGCCTAAATGCTGCAGCCTTCGGGCATTTCCCGGTGTGCAAAGTCTGCACTTCCGTCAAGAAACGTGCTCAGTATCTGCATTATTGTCCAACGTGCAATGTAATCAGGGTGTCCAGCAAAGTCGTAAAGCCGTAAAAGAGTCGTAAATTCGACGCCCTGGTCGTAAATTTGCCATGGCGGTAATAAACGGCCGGCGGTCCCGTCGTAAATTTCGGCAAGACTTTTCAGTGAAAGGAATCACTCTCCAGTGAACGGAGTCATTTCCGCGGGACTCGGCGATAACCAAGTCCATCTTTTGTAGTCTGCGCATGTCTCTGCGCATTGTTTCAGATGGCGCTGCAGTCTTTATTTTGAAGCTCTCTTTCGTTTTTCCAGAAGAAGAATAGGAATAGCACATTAGCACAGCCTTTTTGTTTCACTTTTTAATCAGGTGGCGAGCGAGCACGCGATCATCTGCTTATCCTCCATTGTGAAGACTGGACATTATTATTTTCGTTCCAACCAGCCAGGACAACTTTGATGGCCTTTCCACATTCATCTGAACATAGGATCTACATCTAGTTCAAGTTTAAGACTGAATCGAATGGATTCCTTTTTGTTTAAAAGGTTTTGCAGTCAAAATTCACTATGGGAATGTGCGCTAGATCTAGACGTCTAGACCTATTTCAACCGCGAGTGGCTGAGACTGAGTGAAAGACGATCGTTTTACCGAGTGGCTGGGACAAGAACCGAACAACCTTGGTCAGTATTACATTTTTCCTCTTCGGTTATAGAATCTAGTACATCTCTGATATCTAGATCTAGATCTAGAGATCCAGTACAAGTTAAAGACTGAATCAAAAGGATTCCTTATTTTTGTTTATACGGTTTTGCAGTCAAAATTCACTATGGGAGTGCTATTTCAACCGCGAGTGGCTGAAAGACGATCGTTTTACCGAGTGGCTGGGCCAAGTTCCGAACAACCCTGGTCTGTTTTTCTGCAGAGTTTGCAAACAGCAGGGTTTGATAGGCACAAATGGCATGAAAGCATTATTGTCACATACGAAAGCAGCGGTCTGTAATAAAAAAATATTATATGTTATTGATGGCGCAAATGAAGCTTTCGAGCCGGTGCGGGACTTGATTTGCTGGGTAGTTAATTTCTTTTCTAGGTAGTAAATTTTTTCAGGCAAAACTGCTGGACACCCTGAATGTTGCACTTTGTATTGACAACTGCTTCAGAATATATCACATGGCAAAAGACATCAAGGAAGCAAGGCAACAGCTGACTCAGTGAACAGTTATGTGTGTGAATTCATGTATGCTGATGGATTATTTTGCGCCAGTGAGTGAGTTGGGCTAATTCTAGTAAATGTCACACTATATTTTATACATGTGTATGCCAACGGAACAACTGCACTTCAAAACAGCTAACATGGTAATATAGTTTTCAGTATTGTGTCCTTCTAACCTGTGTTATATTTTCTTACATCTTGATCGTTGTTTCATGCAGATCACTTTCACACAAGATATCCGTTTCATAGAAATTGATTATTTTTGCGTTTATCCCCATCGCAACATTTTATTCAAAGTTTTCTTTTTTCGTGTGTATTTCTTGTGTTTTCTACATATTTCTTCTATTTTCATGCGCTCAAAACAGTTTCATATTTTGTGTGAGACCTGGTAATACAAAATTTGAATTGTACTAAACAACCTGTGTGCTGAGAAAATTTCTTCAGAGCTAGACTTTCAGTACCTTTAGATTCTATTTTCCTTCCGACTCACTCAATATGCCTAAATACTTCAATGCGTATGGTTCATATCACTCCCAAATGGTCAAATTAATTTTGAGGCAAGTTTTAAATGATATCCGATTCAATTTGTATATTATTCTACTGCCAAAGAAGCAAATTTTGGCTTTGTTGTGTTATACTTGATCATGACATAATCAAAATGGCCGCATTTTCCGCATATTTTTGTGTGTGCGTTTTCTGAATGCTCTGTCTATTCTTATGCACCCTGCAAAATTTCATGATGATACATGTATTGGTTTTGGGGAAATTTGAATTGTACTGAACCACCCTATGCTGTGAAAATAGCCTCCGATTTAGACTGTTTCAGTACCTTTCTGTATTTCCTTCCGACTCCTTCAGAATGTGAAATACTTCAATTCGTATGGTTCATATCACTCAGAAATAGTGAAATCAACTTTGAAGGGTGTTTTAGAGGGTATCTGTTTTGATTTTTATATTATTCTACTTCCAAAGAAGCAAATTTTAGCTTTTTTTGTGTTATAATGGCTCATTACATAATTGCAATGGCTGTCTTTTCCCACATATTTTTTTTGGGCGTTCAACTTTATATCCGTCGCAAATTATTAGACTTGAAAATATTTGATGGCTTTTAGTGACTTTGGTGGCCTAATGGTTATGCTCTACGACTCTCAACTAACATCAGGTGGCCCAGACCTCTTTTAATAGCAAATATCGTGACTTCCATTCAAGATAGATGGGTATTTTTTTCATCAAAAGCAAGACAAATGAATAAGCTTTAAGATCATACCAACATCTCCATATGCCTAAAAATTGACAAGCGCCTGATTCCATCACGTTATCACACATGCACACACATCACACACACACACACACACCGCGTCATCACACACAACTGTACACACACATATATTTGTAGTAAAAACATCTTACACTTGAGTTTTGATTTTAGTGTAGGAAGTACACAAAGCTGTGCCATACCTTCACTGCATCATTATTAGCACCTTACACTTTTGCGTTAATACAAAGCAGAGGTCTACTTCACCAATTCCCTGATATCAAAAAGACTTCCACTTGATATCAACCCATTTCTCCCGATCAAATATGCAAAATCCAATAACTGTTCAGATGAAAGATCTGGAGATGTGTCATGATTTGTTGCCATTCAAAACCTTCACCCCATGGCGGCAAGCAGTGGTTAATGAGCAGACACTTGGAGAATTTCAATGGGCACTGAGCGGTCGTAGTAGAACAGGCAGTGTTTGGGAGATTCCACCACGGAGTACTTCAATCCTTCAGAGCCTGAAAGAGAAATGGAAAAGTAATCATGAGGCAAACGCAATAAATTCAGGTAATCAAAAGTAAATCTTTGAATCTCTCTCTCCCTCTCTATCTCTCCTCACACTCACTCACTCACTCACTCCCACACACACACACACACACACACACACACACACACACACACACACACACACAGAGTGCCATCTTGAAAAGTATTAATATAGGGTGTTTGCCAAACCGACTTCACAATTTTCCATGGGGAACCATTCATTTTCCAGGGGCACATAACAAGTAGAATATTATATGATTTCAAACCAACACAAGTCAGATTATAAATCCTGACTAGATTGACTAGATCAACACTGTGTTTGTTTTAGTAAGGTTTTACGATGCATGGAACTGCATAAAGTCATATGAACGCCAAGGGGGCGGATGCCAACAGAGAAATCCAAATGGGGAATCAGGCTTACTCTGCTCACCTCTCTAGCCTAAACAGCACAAAGTCTGCTTCGACTATCAAGGCACCCCAAAAATAGCAGTACACAAGAGAGTGACAAACATACAAAAGAAGTAGAGAAAAAAATGGCAATAGTAAGGATGAGGAAAGAAAAAGCAGCAGTTCCCCCTGATATGATAGTTTAAACCTCGTTGTGAAACAAATGGAGAGATAGTGAAACATGGAATTCTTGCAATGAGACCCCTTTTCTGAATTCATAGTTTTAACAGTCAGTTCTTACCACACTTGAATCAAAATAATATATAAGACTTTCATCTGTGAAAAGAAGCAAATGTAATGCCAACAGTTTAGTGATGCTCAAACAGCACAACATGTGTCCCCTTAAACTACATCTAAACTCAGACCAGACTTCAATAAATTGACAAGCTTCAGTTATCTATGCATTGAGCATAGATTTACCGTAGATATAGACTTTTAAAAAGTATTTTTAGTAAGAGTTTTACTGCACTTGCAACACAATAAGGTCATATAAGTGCCGAAGATTAGAAGTGTTACAAGAGAGTAACGAACACAAAAAAGAAAGAGGGGAGATAAAGACGATAGATGTTTGATAGGAAAGAAGAAGCAAACCACACCAGAGCACCCGTCAACCACAGATAATAGTCTTTGAGTGTCGACAAGATAGTACATGTGTAAAGATAAAGAGTAAAAAAAACCCAGTTGTTTCAAAACAGCATTCCTCTACCGAAGTTCCAACTTGTGAAACAACAGTCTTCCTTCCATAACCCCCCCCCATCCAAAAGAAAAAACAAAAGCGACAAAAACTGAAAAGTAACATACCCATTGCAACTAGAAATTCATCCCTGGTGTCTTCGTTTCTAATCGTGGATGCTATGAAGGCCTTGGGTTTTCTATTGCTGTCTGGTCCTGTGTCGAGCAAACTTTTCAAAACAAAGACGAGTGCCGGGATAATACTGGTATCATAGACAACATCTGAAAGTATGAAAAGCGAATTTAAATATGAGTAAAGAGAACCACATCGACAAAATAATGGCTGCAAAGTGCAAAGCAAGACAGATGGACAGAAACAACAGAGGGAAAGAAAAGAAGCAGGACCTACCAGTGGCTGCCTCAAACCACCCGCTGAAAAGCAAAAAATAATAGATCTAGAGTTATTTGTCAAAAGTGTCATGAAATTACTTGAATATTTCAAGATTTCAGGCACAAAGACTTCAAAGAGGAATGACATATATATATATTCTTTACTAACACTTGGAATACCTGGAGGTGTCATCTCTGACTCAGAGGTTGACATATTATAATGACCCTCCAGCCCTCATGGCCGCCAGCTGCCGCTCCACATTCTACCATATCCAGGCCAGTCCACGTCTTAATGATGTTCATCAATGTTACTGTTACTCTTTGTCTACCCCAGGCTCTCCTGCCCCACATCCTTCCTTCAAGCACCTTTCACAATCGTCTTGTGGCGTTTTATGTGACCAAAGTATTGTATTTTTCTGCTTTTTATTTTGTTAAGCAGGGTTCGTCTTGTGTGTAGAACCTGACACACCTGACTGTTAGTCTTTTTTGCTTTCCAGCTAATTCTGGCCATGCTGCTGTAGCTCCACATCTATGCAGCTATTTTGTTTTGTTCTTTCTTTGTTAAAGTCCAGGTCTCAAGGTCATTTTTTTCTTAAAATAAGTTAAAGGTAGAGATAATTGCGGGGATGTAAATAGTTCGTGCATTTGGCTGAATCTTGCTTTTGCATTTGCTGTTCTTGTATTTTTCCTTTTTCACTTCTGCCATTGTCTGTGATTGTTGCCCCTAGATATTTGTTCCATTCTCTCCCCATCTATAGAAATGTCACAAGTACAAGAATGGACAGAGATATTTCAGAGAAAGATGAGCTTTTAGATAATTTTTTTAAGGTTTCTAAATTATCAGTAGATATAAGCTCTTTAGCCAATGCGTTCCAAACAGATGGGCCATAGCAGAATGTGAAAGTTCATTCCCTGCATTAAAGAATGTCTTAATGAACAAAATTTTTCTCACCTGCCGCTAGAATGATGTCAGCTTTGAGTTTATCCAGAAGCTTCGTCTTAACGCACTCCCAGTCGAGATGACAAATGTTGACCCGCTTATCCTTATTTAGGGAAGCCAGCCTGTGTGTAGCGTCCATGTCCCAGTGGCTGGGGTTCACATCCAGCTCCACCGTGTCGGAGCAGATTTCGTCCTCACTCCCACAACTCTCCCTCAGCACGATGCGGTCCCGCGACACGACCGAATGGTCGGACCCGCACGCTATCTCCGCTCCCCCACCGCCACCGTGGTCGGAGGACAGGCTGAGCTGTCGGCGGATCTTCTTCAGGTTTTTCCGGTCTCTGTCGGAGGAGGCTTCTCCGTCTGTGCTGAGGGTGGGCTGGCTGAGGTTGCGCTCGATGTTCCTGGACAGAAGGTACAGAACCTGGCTGTGGCAGTCGGTGAACGTGAAGCTCTGTGGCTGGCACAGTCTGCAGGTGACGATCCCCGTCAGACCCAGGCCACTACCCAGTTCCACCACGGATCTGACACAAAACAGTTTTGTTTAGTTTCAATAAGATTTTTACGGCACTTGCTACACAAATAGGCAACGTAGGTGCTGAAGATTAGAGAGTTTTACAAGATAGTAACAAACAACGATTAGGATTAGTTTAGTTTTATTAAAAGTTTTATAGCACTTGCACAACAGTTAGGTCACATAAGTGCCGAAGATTACAGGAGTTACTAGATAGTAACATACACATTAAAGAAGGACGAGAGATAGGGAAGACATAAAAAGGAACAAACCACACCAGAGCACCTGCCAACCATCAACAAAGAAAAGGAGCAGGGACAGGGACCACAGATGTTTGATAAGAAAGAAAAACCAAACCAAATTAGAGTGACTGTCTACTACCTATGACACAGAACAAATCCCCAGAAATTTCCGTTAAAAAATTCACTCGATGTCATGCAATACAACATGTGTTGCCTCTGTGTTACTTTTGAGAAAAACAGATCATGCCGTTTCACCGACTGTCATTTACAAAATAATCCCCTTTAACAAAAAGAGTCTAAACAGCAGGACAGAATAAAAAAAACAAGCAAGAACCACAGCGGACATAAACTGAATGACTGCATTGAAACACTCATGAATAGCATGAAAGGAAAAGCCAGTGAATACACTTATATTACCCAAGCCAACATGTAACTGATCTAAACTAGCAGCAGCACAGGGCACCTTTTTAACCGAAAGTATTACGACAGAAGACTTATGTGCATTTAACTCATACAGTTGGTCCAGGATAACTCAAACATGTCATGGATTGACAAATATGTTCAACACATCCATAATGCCGGTAAACAGGTATTACAGTATATTAAAGAGGTATTAGCCGGGGAATGGCAAATTATACAAGCCGTTCGTGATTTCGAGTTTATCGTGTTCATTTTATCAGTGTCCGAAGGTAATTCTTTAACTTTAAAGGAAGGAGAATAAGCCGCAATGGAGAATGTGCCGAAGAACTAAGAAATTGTAAAACAAATTTTTTATTTTTTTTAAAGGAAAAAATATCCAGCCATGCCAATAACTGTAAGCCCTACCTGTTTGAGAAAACTTGAGGGTTCTCAATAACCCATTCTGCCAGATGTTGCGCTGCCTGAAAACAAGGAGAAAAAAAGGCTTGTTTTGATAAACATTTTAAGGTACTTGCAACACAAATGGGTCATTAAAGGGCCATATATTAGAGCTGTTACTATACGAGAAGATATATTATTTCCTTGGGGTGTCAAGAAAAACTTGTAAAGAAAACAAAAATAAAGGACCAGAAAGAGCACATTTTTATGGAAAAACCATAAATAATATGTTATACTGCAACAAAAGAACAAATGTTGAAGACCTTTTTTAACATGGTACAGTAGTCTCTGCCTAAGATCCTGGTGCTCGGAAGCAAAGACAATGCGGGATCTTAGGTGAACGGTAATCTTAGCCGACACACCAAGTGAAGAATCTACGGTGACCTATGTTCCGGCCCACAACTGGTAAAACAGTCACCCTTCACTCTAAATTGAACTGGCGTAACCCCTTGGTCAAACAGTGGTCAACCTTGATGACCAATCACATTCGCACGAGGCATGCCATTCACTTATTATCCTATCATGAGTCTCAAAATCTACGTTGAACCCGTTGCCCCTCCCCTTTATCAGTCCAAAATTTATAGCTTTCCATCTCAGACCGAAATCCCCCGCCTTTGTCGTTATGCACCATTACGTAGTGACAACACAAATTAAAATTCAATCTGTCTCGCAAATTCGGGAGTAGAGACAACTGCTGCAATGATCACACAGTTAGATGTGATCCCGCCTGGAGTGAACCCAGCGAGTGATGTAAGTTTAGGTGGAGAGCTCATATATGCGAGAGCGATGTTTGGGGAAAACAGACGCATCGGTCAGATCACACCGTCTGGGGCAAACATTGTACTGTTTCATCGAGTTTTACTACGCTTATGTGATCGTATTCACGAAAGTGGCTAATCTTTGACGCAACAAGCAGTTCAATGACCTCAACTTTTCACTCTTGATTGATCGGTAGTGCTCGCCCGGGTTTATGGTTGTGTAAATTATGATCTAAAACGCGCGATCTTTGCTGAATGTAGACCTTCAGAGTGAATCAGAGCGGGATCTCAGGGGGTTTGTGTAGTAAAAATTCTGGTTCTTAAAACAGCGAGATCTTAAGCGAACTGGGATCGTAAGAGGTGGGATTATAGGCGGAGACTACTGTATTAGACCCAAGGGCACATGCTCAAAGGCTACAGGACCAACAACAACAACACAACACAGATGGTAATGAAAAAAAAAATTTGGTTTGTAGTAAGAGCATTAAGACATTTACAATACAAATAGGTCATATAAGTGCCGAAGATTCGAGGTGCTACTAGAGAAGTAACAAACACAATAATGAAGGAGAGATAAGGAAGACAGATGTCAGGAAACAAGGAGCAAATTACTCCAGAGCACCCATCAATCATCCACAAAAGAGTTTTGGACAGCACTGACCTGCCATGTGCTCAGTCCGGTTGTCCCTTGGGATACTAAATGCACCGATTCCTGAAGAGACACAGACTCTCCACTGGGCTGGGGAGAGCAACAATCACAACATTTTTTTAGTTAGAGCGTGAGTGAAGGGAAGCACATTGAGATAATAAAGGTCAAATCGTGCAGAGAAGCAGCAAGGCAAACAGCCAGAAGCAACAGACTGAATGGAAAGAAGTAGGGCCTACCAGTGGCACCCTACAACCACCCACACAATCACAAAACAAAGATAAGATAAATAACATATGGACACGCACTCGTCAACACATTTTCTCTCTCTCTCTCTCTCTCTCTCTCTCTCCCTCTGTGATAGCCATTCGCATCCTTGAATACCTTACCAGTAACGTTGACAACTAAGATAAAGCAAAAGAGTATATCGAAAAATAATTTAGAACGCATTATAGGGGCTCATATTAGTCATATTGGTTTCTGATGTTATAAGCATTATTATGATCTGACATTTTGTTATTTATAAATCTACAAAAAGAGGTGACCCCTTAACTCCTTAAAATTCCATTTTTATAGCGACAGTGAATATAAAAGTACTGGAGAATTAACAGAATGTGATCATCAATGCATGAATTAACTGAATCTAATCTCTTTTTAACATTGAGTAGTAGATGATAATGATTTCAACAAAATCCTGGAACCTATGACCTCTTCCCTCTTGAAATATGCATATAATCAACTTTTAGTTTAGTTTGTGCAAGAGTTTGACTTGCAACACAAGAAGGTCACATAAGTGTCAAAGATTAGAGGTGTTACAAGAGAGTAACATTCATAGATCAGGACGATAGATGTTTGATAAGAAAGAAAGAGCAAAACCACACCAGAGCACCTGCAAACCACTCACACTCACACACAATCAACAAACATCTCAAACCTGATGATACAAGAAGACAAAAGCAGTAAGACTAAAGATACAACTTACCATTTTGTAAGTCTTATAACACAGTGTTTCATCTTCATCCTCTTGTCGTGACAAGATGTCTGTGTACGCTTCATACATTTCATCACAGATGTCTGCATCTTCTGATTCCAGCTAGACAAACAGATGAAATAGAAGAAATTCAAAGAAAAGTAAAAATGAGAATGTGAGATTAAGTGTAACACAATCGTTCAATAAATCAAAGGAGCCAGGACACATACATGGACAAAGGGGACAAAATAGCAGAAAAGAATTTAAAAGGAGAAGTCTCAAGCACGGAGGGGGTGTTACATGGGACTCACGAAAGCCAGATATTCACACACACACACACACACAGAGAGAGAGAGAGGGAGAGGGAGAGGGAGAGAGGGAGAGGGAGAGGGAGAGGGAGAGGGAGAGAGAGAGAGAGAGAGAGAGGGAGAGAGAGAGAGGGAGAGAGGGAGAGAGAGAGAGAGGGAGAGAGAGAGAGAGAGGGAGAGAGAGAGAGAGAGAGAGAGGGAGGGAGGGAGGGAGGGAGGGAGGGAGGGAGGGAGGGGAGGGAGGAGGGAGGGAGAGAGAGAGAGAGAGAGAGAGAGAGAGAGAGAGAGAGAGAGAGAGAGAGAGAGAGAGAGGGTCGGGGATGAAAGAAGAGAGAAATTACAAGAAAAATACAGCAAAAAGAAAAGATAAAAACAAACATGAAGGGCTACTTGAAATCAGTAATTGGAATATTCACAACTTATGGCAAGACTCTGAATTTAGATCATTCAATGAAAATAAAATAAACAATACAAACTATATCGACTACTCAGTGTAAGATTTTGTTATACTTATACATGCACTCTCTCGTTCTCACTCTTTCTCTCTCCCCCCCTCCTCCTCTCTCTTTCTCTCTCTCTGCCCGAAGACAAAATTCATCGCTTTCAACTCAGCGCTGGAACGTTTGTTTACACTCGTATCAAGAGCCGTCATGCGCAAAGAAGACGAGGTAGATCTAGTGCCCAAGTCTCGTTCAGACGCGAGATAAGGCAATTCAAACATCTTGGTAGTAGTTAGACAATCTTTAATAACATCACGACGCTGCATTTCTGATGATAGCCACCCTAAATCGAGCCAGTAGTCAGGCGCTTGAAGTGAAATATGATTGAATTCAAAACTGCAAATACAAATTACAATAATTACAACAGAACTAAACAACAGTTGTGTTTGATGCAAAACACCGGAGTCAGATCCCAAAAAGATTACCTTGTGAATTAACAATTTCATGAAATAGCGCATATATGACAGAGCAGGGGGACAACTCTGACAGACTGGATTTTTCACTGTTGCCAAAAGGAGATGTCTTTGAAGTTCCGGACTTGATGCTAATAAGGCTGCTTCTTCATCCTGAAAGTCATATTCAAACAAAAAGTAGTTAACGACAGAATAATTGGATAAGAGGACAAAAACATGAAAAGGAAAATTCAGAAGTCATTACATTGCAAAAAGGGCAAAACAAAATAATGTATGAAATCATTATATAAAACTCACTTGAGTCAGAGCTATTTTTCACCCAACAACCATTGCAGCCTGACACTTTTGGAGTAAAAAATGCAACATGAAAAAGAAAGAAATGCTCTCAAAGAAAAAGAAAACTTCATCTAATTTGTCCAAATAGTTTTTAATTCATCTATATTTTGAAATGGCAATGTCTGGGGGTTATGCAATTTTTTGCGTGCCAAATTTATAATAAAAATAAAACTGACATGGTGTTCTGTTTGTAAGACCTGATGTAATGAAATTGTTTATAGAGATCATAAGAGTTCTTAGCGAGAAAGGGGTTATCAAATAAAAGTAGTCTTATAGAAGAACAAGAAGAGAGACATAGCGTGTTCACATGCAGCACTTGTCAGTTTTGCTATTTTGAAAAAGTTGAACGCATGACGCGAAGGTTAAAAATCTATGATTTGAATAGTGCGCAAGCTCTGTTTACACATTGTCTGAATGATTCAAAGCAAATTTTGGGCGTAGGAAGCATAGATTTCAACCTACAGTGTGAGAAAACAATAGGCCTACACTTTGCCCAAATGTTACTCTGGTTTATAATTTCCCTCATCACCACTTGCATGGGGAGTCTCACAAGTCACAATTTCTCATTTTCGCTGCGATTCTTACCCTTTAATGTGGTTTATAATTCGCTGTGATCACCAGACAAGCCAGAATCATGTAAAATAAGTGAACAAGCTCAGTGTAGCCTAGTGAGTGTAGGAGAATAAGGGAGCACAGGGGTATATAAACAGACGGCGAAGGTTAAACCGGCCTTCCAAGCCACGACTAAAACCTAGTCTGAGCAGGGATCGACGCTACTTGTGGGTCAACACAGTGGATGGAGCTCCGGACCTGTACGACCCACACTCACCGTTCCCCGTTCGAAACAGTGAGTATTGAAACCAACGTAGATAGACTAACGAGTAGAATCTAGGATTAGATAGCACTTATCATCTCATTACAAGCTATTTCGGCTTTTATTTGACGTGTGGCGTGGGGGCCAGGCGGGATATCGTGATTGTTAAGACCTTAGGCTAAGCTAGACCAGGGTTGGGTTGATTTAAATCAGTTGATCTTTTTTATTTAAATCAACTTGATTTTTAAAAATAAAAATCAGTGATTTAAATCACTTTTTTTAAAAATTATTTTTATTCGGTTTTTACACATTTCAACATTCAGAATTCCTTTCCTTGGTTTCATAAAACAGATATACGGTTTAGTAGACTAATATAATCATGCTTAAAAGTCTGATTTCCCCCCTTTCACTGTAAAATAATACAGTATTCAATTTACTTTTTTTTTCCATAATTGAAATCAGAGCTGGGTTGATTTAAATCAGTTGATTTTTAAAATGTTTTAATCAATTTGATTTTAAAAATAAAAATCAGTGATTTAAATCACTTTTCAAAAAAATGTATTCAGTTTTTACATATTTAAACTTTCAGAATTCCTTTCCTTGGTTTTATTTTAAACGGATATAAGGTTTAGTAGACTAATATAATCATGCTTTAAAGTCTGCTTTCCCCCCTGTCACTGTAAAATAATACAATTCTCAATTTACTTTTTTTTTCATAATTGAAAACCAGGGTTGGGTTGATTTAAATCGGGTCGATTTAAATCAGTTGATTTAAAATTTTTTTAATCAACTTGATTTTAAAAATAAAACTCAGTGATTTAAATCACTTTTAAAAAATGTTTTCTGTTTTTACAGCTTAAAACATTCAGAATTCCTTTCCTTGGTTTTATAAAACAGATATAAGGTTTAGTAGACTAAAATTGCTTAAAAGTCTGCTTTCTCCCCCTGTCACTGTAAGTAGTAAAATAATACACGATGGCGAGCCTGACAATCTAAAAATCTGACGACGTTTGTATTTTCTTTTATTTTTTTTCCCCACAAGTGACAGCACAGTGACGAATCCGAGTATTGATAAATTTTATTTGCGCGCCTACACAGTATTCATACTGCACAACCAGCATGTCACAACATAATGCTGCGTATCAGTCTATCGCAGGCAAGTTTCTGGGTGGTAACAAAAGCGAAAGTATATCTTGAGTTTTCAGATCGAGCCATGGTGTCACATACACTTCCGCCTGCCGTCATAGCCACTTCGCGTAAACGTACTCTCTGACGGGGGAAAGCTGAACGAATATTAAAATCGCGACCGCCAAAAATGAAGTTAAAGACCTTATCAGATTTCGTTTCGAATCTTCAAGGTCCGCGATACCGATACTACTCAAATATCGTTGTACTACTTTGACAAAAGACAGGACTTGATAATCGCTGGGTACTGCTACTACCAATTACGACCTTTATGACCAGGGCGCCAAATTTACGGCTTTTTTACGACCTTGCTCGACACCCTGTTATATCATACACATGAAAGTTCACTGACCGGTCACCATTGCGGGCCCGACAAGAGAGAATGAGTGCTTTTTTGGTGCTCTTCCCCAAAAGTGACAGCACAGTGACAAATATTTTGATTTATTTGTATGACCACACAGCGTTTATAAAATAACGCACAACTTGCATGTCACAAAAATATTGCGTTATAATCAGACAATCACCAGCAAATTCTGGGAGTAAGAAAAAAAAAATAGATGTTGATTTTCCCGATCGAGCCTCGGTTCTACATGTACACTTTCACCTGACGTCATAGCTGCTTTTCAGCGCGAAACGTACTATCAGACAGGGGAAAGCTAAATAAATATCACAAACGCGACCAGTAAAAATGATCCTACTGACTTCATCAGATTTGGTTTTTCAAATGTTCGAGAACTTTATTTAGGCCAATTTACAGATACAGTCCGTGCCAGCATTAAGCACGCCGGCCTTAAGCACGTTTCGGACTCAAGCATGCTAAACGGCTCTTACCCAATTTTTGCTATATAAATTACACGCCTATAAGCACGGTAACTTCGGCTTCAAGCACGCTTCATTTACAAGACAGTCAATATTTTCATGATGACCCATCGAAGTTCGAACACAGTTTACACCGCAACAGTGGAGTGTGTCAAGAGAAACACAAAGAACGCAAGTGATGGACACAAACACTCACACGGGCGGAGAGGAAGGCAGAGAGAAGCACACAGCCGTGCACACGGACATAGGATCTAGCCTAGGCCTAGGGCAAAGCTACATACGACCAAAAAATAAATAAATACAAAGAGAGTTGGCACTGTTGGGGAGACGAGAAAGGGAGGCTGGCTGCGATTTCACCTTTGACCCTCGCTATCCATTAATCCTGATTGTGTATCACGCGCGAGGTGGGATGAAGGCGGTGGTAAATGTATGAATGGCACAGTGGGCAGTGGTACGCACAGGCAGTGTGTTACAGTAGGCCTAGTGTGCTGTATCGTGACTGGCCGTCTAAATTAAGTTTTCATTTCCCATTCGACCACAAAACAAAAACAAACAAGCGAACAAAAACTACCATGGCGGGTGTATAAATAACAGTGTACACTTTTGCGGGACCGCTATAGGCCTACTTACAAACAAAGGGTAATAGCACAGGGAATTTTCTACATGAAAATCTCTGGATTATGTCTACTTCGCACTCAAGCACGCTTCGGCTTTAAGCATGCTTAAGCTTTCTCCCGATGACTGTGCTTAAAGCCGGCATGGACTGTATCATTAAATTCTCTGGGCAATTTACAGACGAGCCATTGCCAAAACGTGGGGAAAAACACACACATCTCACATTAGTGTGCATAAAATGTGATGTGATTGGTGTTTATTCCTCCAAAATTTATACACATGTCAAATATAGGATGTTGAACCTGCATTAGCAGTTTCAGACCCTGTCAGCATTACATTCTTGAGTGTGTAAATTTTGTGCCAAAAATGTTCGTTTTTTTTGTGATTCCTGGACTGTCATTTTGAGCAAACCAATGCAAACATCCAAGAATGTCCAAAATTTAGTATTTTTGTGTGTGTTTTTTTTTTACGTGTGCTTTGATCCTATGCTATTTGTCATCGAGAAAGGTCCACTTGCTCAAGAAATCGGTTTATTTGTTTGCAAATAAATGAATAATTCGGATCACTTGTGCATTCGTCGTGTCGTCATGGACTAAAAACACCATTATTTTTCAGTAGAAATCACCATAGCTGGTTACATCTTTTTGCTTTTTGTCGTTTACTCAATACTTCAAAAGCTGCGATGCACGAAAGGAACATCGTTTCCTAGATCTACGATTTCAGTCGGCTGTTTAACATTCGCCGTGATTGTCGTCACTTTGCGACGTACCGGAAGTCTGAATTTTAGCCCACTTTTGTTTTGAACGGATCATCAACAGTGCCCGGATCTAATAGTTTTTTGAGTGACTTCCCCTTACCTACTTCCCCAGGACAGCAGAAGCAACTGCGGAAAGAGAAAAATGAAAGTAGTCATTGCCGTCAGCGTTCGGTGACGCACAAGAATCTTACATTGAATGTGACGCACAGGATTGTTTTACGTGTTTTTAGGCTACCCTGTTGAATATTATATTTTAGTGAAATTGCGGTGTTTACATTGGATTCCTGGAACAAGAGTGCGATGTGTGAACAAACTTCTAGAGACGGGTCCTTTCTGTGGTTATAGATTTAGCTTTTGTGCTTAGTGATGACGTTTGGGGTGTCGTCATGCAGTTGTACAAGACTGACTGACGCACTAGAAATTACATTGTCCTAAGAGCAAACATTTTTTATGTCATGTGTGCTCTCTTTACTCAAACAAATAAACAAACATGTCCTTATTTATCAGTCTGACTCAAAAGTACACATTTGTTCTTTGTTGGAATGATATGCCTGTTTCCAATACATTGTGTCATCATTCATCATTGTTATGTACAAGTAATATTTCCCATCATTGAATATCAATAAGTTCTCAACATATATTTCATTCATGCATGATTCATTCTGAAGCAAAATACACCTTTATTGATCTGTGTATCTCATACTGCACATTTGTTCTTTGTAGGCATGATTTTACCATTTCCCTGTATGTTTTGTCATCACTGTTATGTACGAGTACTGTTTGTCATAATTAGCAACATAATTGTGATTGTCCACTATCTTTGCCTGATATATGTTTCAAAGCAAAAGAAGGTTTTTAAAAATTATTCTTAAAGTGCGCATTTCTCTCTGGAGGCATGACTTTGCCTTTTCCTGTACATTGTGTCATCATTGACAAGTCATGTTTGTCATCACTGTTATGTACAAGTCAGCCCCATTGATTTTGTGCTTTTGCCTCATATTAGTTAAAAATTGTTTTACACATGTGTTTTTCTGGTACTGAGGCTTTGACTTGATAACTGTATTTGTACAGCCTTTCACTATTGTGATGTGTTGTCAATGATAATGTCCAATGTGTATCCTTTCTTGTACATAACAATGATGACATGTTCTGAGCACTGCGTCATTGTTGTTACAATGTTTGTCATTCATATTACTATTACGAATGGAGTTCATATAGTGTACAAAGTCTTTGTTTACTAAACAAATGGAATTTAAAGTCTATAATTTGCCTTGCTGCTTATCTGTTTTTGTCATCACTGTTACATACAAGAAATACAGTGGTTGCCAAACCAATAGACCCATATCTCCAAAACCCTATATCTCCTTGCTCTGATATTCTAGGAATATGAGCTCTAAATGTCAATCTGAGACTGACAGAAAAGGGAGTCAAATTGGTAAGAAAAAAATTTTGGAACCACTGAGTCTCAAGAGAGTCTCACGTTTTGGCAATTGCTCATTTAACTATTCGAATCGAGCCAAACTATGCAGGTCGTCATGTTGTTTTTGCCCGAAAATTTTCGCGCTACTCCTCTCTCTCTCCTCCCTTCTCTCTCTTTCATTCACACTGCCCACAGACAAAATTGCACGCTTTTAACACAAGAGCGCTGGAACGTTTGTTCATGGTGAACGCTACACTGGTCGGCCTAGGCTATCATGGTGAACGCACACCGGGTGAGAATAGAGGTGGCCAAGAAAATAATCTGAGTCCGCAGGTTGCCGTCATGCGGTCGTGTTGCTACCATGACTGATTAAGTCTGAAAGTGGGAATCCCTCAATGACGTCAAACAAGATGGCTATTACTATAAATATCGGCCAATGACGTTTAAAAGTTTGGTATTTTTTTTACTTTCCCTCCTGTCTCAAACTTAGCTACCAGTAGTCCATTTTCTACTAAATATTGATGCGTTGAACACGAATATATTAACTTCATTTCCGTCCCAAGTTAATAGTCTTTGAAATATCTGATTGTATTTTAAAATCGAGATAAACGTTCTTTGAGGGGGGGTGGGGGGGGTTCCAGGGGGGGGGGGGGGTTCCAGGGGGGCCTGCCACCCCTGAGTTTTAAAAGAAAATCTGGGGGGGCCCCCCTGTTTTAACCCATAATTTGTTATTTTATAGTCTAGTTAGATTTGAAATTTTCCTGAAAATAATTGATTTGCGACAGTTTTATAGTATAGATCTAGTGGCTTTATGTGTGATCTGCAGCAAATAGTACGGCAGTTAGACCCCCAAAGCAGTGCTTCTGTGTGCGGAAGTGAAAGTAAAAATTTACCCAAAAAAACAATAATTTAATAGCCTTAAATGAAAGCAGTGTAATGAATTAAAGTAAGAAATAGTTTGTCATTGTAATGATAGAATTGGCATTTGTTTACATCACCAAAAAAAACATGTTTAATTGTTATCCTTAGGCCTAACAGAACCCACAATTATTTTTAAGGAACCCAGTGTCTTGACCCTAGGCTTATTTTAATCTTAATTTTGATTGGTTCAAGAGTTAAATTTTCCATTAGCCTACAGAACCAATAAATAGTGCGGCAACAAAAGGCGAAAAGGTGACGCTATTTTATTTGCGGGAGTACTTCCGTAACGAGCGACCACTATGAGACAGAGCAGAATTGAGGGCTTGGGGTAGGGGTAGGGGTAGGGGTAAGGGTAGGGGTAGGGGTAGGGGTAGGGGTAGGTCTAGGCCTCTTCTTTTTTGTGTTTGATGGGGTGGTCGCTCTTTACGGAAGTCCTTCCTTATTTGCTCAAAAGATAGAAGGTTATAGTTTTAGTCAATTTAGTCACCACGCGCGCTCAGCGGAGTGAGAGAGGGAGGCGAGTTTTGTCGCCTGGAGCGCTCAGTGACAGGGGTCCTATGATGCCCGAAACGAAAAAAAACGGGTGAGAATAGTAGGCTGTCGTTATTCTCACCCAGAATAGTATCAATTTTATAATGATATAGATCTAGATCTAATATCCAGTTTATCCTCACCCCGGGTGAGAATAATCACTCAATTCACTCCGATCCCCTTCCTTGTTACTTGTTGTTGTACACAGTACTTGTGTAGCAATGCCAATCGGGCTTTCCCGCGAGGCGAAAATTTGGTCCCCGTTTACGGGCGATTTTGCGGACCCGGCCGAAGCGTAGGTGACTAACTTTGTCAACCTCGCTCTGCTCTATTTCCGAACCAGTCCGAATGAAACTCGGCAACCAATCAGAAAATAGGGCAAACTAATGATATGTGGACGTTGAAGTTCGTACACATAAAAATTAACCTATACTTTTGGTGTCGGGAACACTCGTATCGTGTACACCGAAAACTATAAGGAGTTTGAATTTCAACGCCGAGATGGTAATAGATCTATCCTCTATAGTGTGCTCAAATTTGAACGTTCTGTGTCAAGTAGTTCTTTAGACCCGATCATAAATGCACGACTACCCCCCTATCCAAAGCGGCTTCGCACGGAGACCGGCCATTTTCCCCTCACTCTCGTGGCAAATGTATGTGACCTACAAATCCCCGCATGACTATTCCGGGCCCGTTCATTGGTCACTTCAAATTGGGCAATGGCGGGCACGCGCATCCGGTTGTTTTTCTCTCTATTCCCCTGTAACATCGCAATGGGGGTATTCCGAGGCGAGGTTATCTCGTCTCGGGGTGTTCGCGTCTCAACGGGGAAAAAGAATTTTTAATTGTAATTTGTACGGCATGCTAGATTGAATTAACTTATCTTTTACGGTTGGCATGGTCTAAAGTCATCATAATATTATAAAAGCTTTGCAATTATTTAGTCACGCTACCGACATATATTCTTAAAGATCCCATGTTGCGATACGATGCTATAAATAAAATGGACTCATCCCGACACCCCTTTTTCGCAAAATTGTAATCCATGCAGCCTACACCACAATCTTAATTATAACAAAATAACTACGAAATTGGTAGTAAATCTGACTGCAGAAATGATTTCTACACTCAAAAACACATCGGGTAGCCAAGTTTCTCTCGAACACTCCGATTAGTTACCGAGATATCGTCGATTTTCTTACAGAAATCTGCTACTGCGTGGTCCACTTTTTAGGAGTATTTTTCTATATATGTGGGTCATCCATATTTTGCCGACCTTTACAAGCCCATAACTTTTTTAAATCTATGAACCGATTCTCAAAATTCAAGAAGTATAGATTCTAGTTCTTAGAATTGAAAATTCTTTCTTAGAGGTACCAAAAAAAAGGGTAAAAGTGAAAATTTAAATTTTCATTGGCATTGCCATTGCTAACTGGCCTTCGTTGCTAAAGAAAGTGGCTATTCTCACCCGCCCGGAAGTTCTCGCAAGATCAACTCCTCCCCTCTTCTCTCTCTCTCTGTCTCTTTCTGAATACTGTCTATCGGTGTGGACGATCAAATTGACCAAAACAAAGTTAAAAAATGATGTTAAAACACAAAAGTAAATTAATTTGGTGGTCTACAAAGATGCTACAGCTATTTAACTTTTCGAATCGAGCCGAACTACGCGGGTCGCCATTTTGTTTTGCCCGGAAATTCTCGCGCTACTCCTCTCTCTCTTTCTCTCTCTCTCTCCACTGCCCACAGAGCCACAGACAAAATTGTACGCTTTTGTAGGCTACAGTTGTAATGGAACGTTTGTTCACGGCACAGAATTCTACAATTTTTCTGTTATCACAGTGTAGAATTCTGTAGTTTAGGGTGAACGCAAAATTTGGTGAACGCGCACCGGGTGAGAATAGCCACAAGACTCGCCTGCCCTGCACTATTCATATTCTCACTCCGGGTGAGAATAGAGGTGGCGTTGCTTAAAGTTGTGAGGGAAGTCCTGGCTCTTGTAAAAGGCATGGGTTGGGCGTTCCCCTTTGTGACTTTATCAAATGATATGTCCCCTTGAATTTACTTACCTTCCACTTTAGCTTTCTAACTGGAACCATTTCAAAAAATTGTGAAGATATTTCCCTCAGAGAATCGATTTGAGCAAAACCTTCTACATCCCTGCTGTGGGCAGCCATCTTGGGTGAGACTTCGTGAATCTGTAAGTTCGCAATTGGAATAGGAAAATCTTTATAACGTATGAATTTGGCTGAGTAGAATAAAGCCAAATGTTTTGCACATGATCTATACATGAGCACCTTTTCCTAAAATTAATGTAGATCTAAACGTTTCATTGCAAAAACACTGTGGCCTATGGCCGTCGTGATCAACTAAAATTCCCAACTAGGCTAGACAACGTTGCTTTTCTAATGAAAATCGCGATTCATAATATATACGTTCGCAGTGCTGCACTTCCTGTGTTGGGAGTTGGGAACAGGCAAGCAAAGCAAAGGAAGCGAGACAAAAAACAACGTTCTCGACGACGCTGAAACGTAGCCTACCGGTTGTGAAGACACTTCAAGAAATCATACCCTCTTTGAATTAATCATGTATGGGATGTAATAACTAAGTATTTTGTGAAAATGTGTCTTAGGGAAGATTTTTAGGATAGACACTTAGATTTCTAAACCGTGTGTATTTTAAAAATTTTTGTCGGCATGAGAACTTACTTGTTGGCTGCTTATTATTCACCCTACCACTCTTTATTTTAATTCTTGCAAATATTGGTCTGTGTTTTTGACTGTTGTTGTGAAATTTATTTTAGATTTTAGGCCTATGTTGTTTGTTATAAAATGTATATTATTTATGGTAGATTTAGCGTTAATTGCGACAGAGTGACGCTGTGACAATTAACTCACTCACTTTCAGGATAACTGGGAAATGCCAGGCTTTCGGGACCATTTTCAAAACCTCGCTGTGAGCTTTATTTTGTGTACAGCATTGAACTTTTCCACAAAAATGACATTGAAACATAACAAATAAAAACAAATTTTTGTGATACAAAATTGCACACTTTCAACACAAAAGCACTGTGAATCACAGTGAACTGGCATGGATAGTGTGACAGGTCCACGACACTTGCTTCCAGTGACTACCATTTTTTTGGAACTGTACTGTACTGTGTAATTGAGATGTCTTATATTTATATTTTTTCAGGGTTACCGAAACAAAAACAAGGGATGACAAGGACAAAGATAAGAAAAAGGATGGCAAAGATAAGGAGGCCAAGGACAGAGGTCGTGATAAGAAGAGGCGTGGGGGCTCATCCAGTAGCGGATCAAGAAGCAGTTCGTAAGTTGCTGCACTGTTTTGAGTACATTTTTTTCCATGAATTTGGTGAAAATTCTGTTTTTTTTTACATATTTTGATACAAAGTTGTCAATATTTGGATTTTAGAAAATAGGCATCTTTATTAAAATGTTCTGTTTAGATAATATCACTTTCAATCTAGCTAAATAATCGATATATCAATCTATTTTTATTTTATACACATGATTCTTTACACTTACAGTCCGCTCTTTGGAGACCACAACAGTAACTTTCTGCTTATATTTTGACTAAATCCTGATCTATTGAATTTTTTATCCAATACCCATTATTAGCACTGAAAAACTATTTTTATTCGTTCTGTTGTGTTTTCTTTATTCTATTATCATGGGTCTCAATAGTCCGCTATTTAGCGGATTTCCGCTACCACCATTTCCTCCTCTGAATTCCGCTACCGCGACAGCGGGCCAATCAGAAAGAGAGTTGTTGGGAGCAGGGTGACTGCCAGGCGCCCAGGCCCCGGGAATTTTTTTTTAATCGTCGAGACCGGGAAAATACATAAAAGATCTCGAATGTTTGAAAACCAAATCCAATAACATCTTTAAGTTCATTTCTGCCGGTCGCGATTGTGATATTAATTCGGCTCTGAGAGTACGTTTCACGCGAATTGGCGGCAAGCGGAATTGTGTCACCAAGGCTCGACTGGAAAATCAAGGTCTGCTTTCGTTACCGTCCAGATATTTTTGTCAGTTATTGTCTGATGACGCAACATTTAATGTAACATGCAGGTTCGGCATTTCAAACATGGTGTCGCCATGAAAATAATCAATATTTGTCGCTATACTGTCACTGGGGGGGGGGCGCAACAACAAAAAAAAGAAAAGAAAGTTATACAAACGTCTTGTCAGGCTCGTCATTGTGACTGGTCAATGAACCTGCGCGTGCTCTGAGCGTTGCGAAGTTCAGGAATGGGGGGGGATTATTGATTTTTTTTTTTAAGACGGACGCACTCGGGGATAGGGGGAGGGCTGGACGCAACACCAGAGGACAAAAAAACTGAAACTGGAGGCAAATGTTTTAAATGTTTAGAATTTTGAAGTGTGCGTTGATGCTGGCCTTGTGTGAAATCGGGAACCATCATATCTTGTAAGCGTGTTATGGAACTTAGGGGCCTAAGTGTTCGCGTTCATTGGATTGGTGACAGTAAATTAGACCTGTTTTAGCTTTCTGTTCAAGATTCGTAGATTTACAGTATCACTGCATCTTGCCCTCCCCCAGTTTTTACACCTTTCACACTGAATAGGTCTACTTGGGCTATTCTACTCTACTTTGAGCATAAATGTTTGTCTTTCTCGTTTATTATAATACGGATTACTTCCCAAATAATAAATGTTCTAGGGGACATTTTATATGCTCCTGTGGGCCAATAAGCACGGGTATAAATAATATTAGATTAATATTATATAGGCCTTTATATATGATGTGAATCATGACAGTCGATATTCTGGTTCTAGGCTCAAAACAAGATTCATTTTTTTTAAAGTTTATATATATATATATACAGGCGAATATGATTAAGGGGAAATATAAATAAGTCGCACAAGACCCCAGCGCCACCACTTTCTGTACATGATTAAGATTGTAAATATTTGGTATGTGACTCTTACTTGAAATTATCTCCCAAACCCTAAATTTAGTAAAATTGGTGTGAAATAACCTTGCCTTGATAAATTGATGGTTTTTGTTTCAGCATTCTAGAGTTCAACAGTATAATAATAATGGGTGTTTCGCGAAAATGGGCTTCTGTGGCGATCACCCGTAAAGTTCCTCCTTTTTTAGAATTCCGAGTTGAGACCCATGATTATGAACACTGGTAATCAGCTAAATTAAGTTACAATAAATCATGTTCCCTGAAATTATGAAATGCTTCTTCAATCTTTGCTTGTATCTGGGACTGTAAAGCTTATGATAGTCTGAGTTGGTATCGAAGTAGGGTGTGCCATTTGAGTATATTATAAAATCGTTTCAACCATTGTCATGGTCATGTCCTAAGTTTTCTTTTTTGGTACCTGTGGGATATTGCTTTTCCAGGATTCTAGATAAAATCTAATTCAGCTGTCGTCAGCTAGGTCTTGTAAGCCTCTGTTAAAAGTTATCGGCAATGGCCTCATCGGAGCCCAATCGGTTATTGCTGGGACAAAGGCTCGTTGACAATGTGTAAAAAGTTAGAGAGGGGGGGGGTTACGCAGTGATATAAGCCTAGCTGCACACATGTGTAATGTTTCATGTACCCCTGTTCGTTGGTACTTGTGGCAAGGGAAACTACCCATGAATGAATACAGCTGGATTAGTCCCTTACTTCCCTTGCATTTCTGATTTAACAGGGATCTGATATAACTGGACTTTTTCTCTGGTCCTACCATCCCTGTTATATCAGGTTTCCACTGTACATAGTTACTGTGTTTTCTTCGGAAAGCATTTTTTTTTTCAGTATTTTATAGAGACACTGTTTGTAAGTCCACAATTTTCTTGGGCTTTTTTTTTCCCACTTTCAAGTCTGTTCTAAATCCATGCAATTTTGATGGTCCTGCTGTTGTTAATGAGTTGATGTTGGGAGTTCTTATTATTATGTTTGTTTGTTTTTTTAATTTGGCAGACACTATTAACACTATGTTTAGGCAAAATTGTTTTACTTACAACTTACACATGACATCTTTGTTTTTTAGCTCCAGAAGTGGCTCTCGCTCATCATCCTCTGGTAGCTCAAGCTCTGGCAGTTCAAGTTCAGGCAGTTCCTCACGCTCTGGGAGTTCGAGTTCCAGCCGCTCTTCCAGCTCTGACAGTAGCCGGAGCCGAGGCCGAGATCGCAAACAGAGAAATGAGTATGTTGTTAACTCAGTGAGCCTTGGTCCACAACATAATCGGAATATCGATTTCAGATTTCTTTTTTTTTTTTTAAAGATGACGAGCCAGTAATACAATGATTTTTGTAGAAACCTTTAGTTGTATGGTTTTTGTTACTGGAAACTGTTTTCAAAATATAACACAGCTGACTTATACAGCAAAAGTTAGTGATAACTGGAGTCAATTCAGAGCAGTGGTATAGGACGCTAAAGGTTAACAGCAATTTACGAGATGACTAATGATTTTCTCAATTGTCTCCTTGCTAGTTTTAGACAGAGAACTGGTTGGCCTTCAAGAATCAGCCAACATCTCAATTTGCGTAGCTTGACCCAAAATCGGCCAAACCTGGGGTAGCTCCTCCCGTTTAGCTCCATATCTATGTTAGTATGATTGTCTTTTGTTAATGTGCAGATCAGAAATAGACATAATATCATATTCAAATTATGCATCCGTTCCTGTTTAAGAGCAATCGTATTAATCTTCTATGTGGATAAAAATGCCTAAAATTGTTTATTTTGCTTGTTTTTCAGAACTCCTAAAAGGAAAAAGAGGAGCCCCACTCCCAAGCCTACGAAAGTACACATTGGCCGTCTCACAAGAAATGTAACAAAGGAACACATTCAGGAGATCTTCTCTTTGTATGGCACAATAAAAAATGTGGAGATGCAGATGGACAGAATTCACGCCCACTTCAATAGAGGTTTTGTGTACATAGACTACGACACTCCGGAAGAGGCTGCCAAAGCCATAAAATTTATGGATGGAGGTATTATTTCAAATTATAACCAATTTTTCTTTCATAACTTTAATTTAATTTTCACTTTCGGTACTGAAAAAGCAGGTATAGAAAGTTGACCTACTGTATATCATCTTGTTTAAGACACAGGTGGGCTGGAGAGCCTAATTTTTTAAAATATATATAAACTATATATTCACTTGATAACTATGTTCAACCACTTTCCAAAATATGATTCAACCTGAACAAAAGCTTTTTATGTTTTGTGTTTTACACCGCTCGCAACTGCATACAATCATATGAGTGTGCGGGGCACATTAAACATTTTCTGTTTAGTAGAAATTTTTTATTTTGCATTGGTGAGCAAAAGGTTTGCTTTTCTTTGCTTTTTTTAATGTGACTATTCAGCCAGTAGTGTATCCTAGCTTCATATTCTTAACTTTAAGTTCCTTTTGTTTCTCAGGTCAAATAGATGGGCAGGAAGTTACAGCGGCAGCTGTTCATGTTCAACGAAACCCTGTGCGTCCTCCACTTAGACGAAGCCCCATAAGGAGAGGAGGGCCTCCACCCAGATGGCGTGCTTCTCCATCTCGCTACAATCGTGATAGAAGGAGGTAAGTTTTTAGGCTTGGCAAATTCTGTTATTTTTTGCAGTGTCTTTGTATTGTTTTTGAACTGCTAAATGAAAAGTTAAAGATCAGTAGCAGGGGAAAAAAATAAGCGTGTTGTGTTTGTATCTCTACTGACGTTCTCTGGCTGGATCGCTTGTACCCCTTCCCCCCACATCCCCCCCAGACACATACATACACAGTCACAAGTCACATCTGTGCTGGCTGCCTGTCCGACCCCGACACACGCTAAGACATGGGTGAATGCTAATAATGCATGTGTTGATATGAAAGGAAGCCACTGATTGGTCCCAAAGAGCCGTTTGCCCTGGAAGCGACTTCGTTAAATACGAGCCTGCTCATGTATGTGTTCATTGAATCCGAGTTATTTTAATTGATTTTTATTCATATAAAAAAAACGGGGAACCCAACCCCTTTTGTTGAATCTAAGTTCGTTGAAACCGAGTTCTGCTGTGTCTCTGCCGAATTGGGTCAGCTTCAGGGATACAAAGTCTCCTTGAACCCCTTTTATCAGGACACCACCATCTTTGATCGGGGTTTGTTCAGGACTGTACAGCCGCCGTTTCTAACTATTATTATTTATTTCTTTGATTATATCATTGGTTATACCTTGAGTAAACCTTTCTACCTTATATCGCAGCTTCCACCCATCCAGTGTCTTAGTGTTGTCGCATTGGGTTTTTATTCTTTTATGGTTGGGTGTATTCTAAAGGTATTTGTTACTGATGTAGACTGCCTTGAATGTGAAGGAAATATTTGTTGTAATTTTCATAAAATATTAACATTACTTTTTTCACCTCCCCTTTGTAAAAGGTCACCCCCACGAAGAAGCCCTCCAAGAAGAAGGTCAAGGTCACCTACCGGTCGCAGGCGTCATAGCAGATCAAGCTCAAGTTCTTCGCGTTGATTTGGATGAAATTATGGTGTAAAGTGTTCTTGTGTGAGTGAGGTCTGGGATGGGATAGGGTGGGTTTGATTTTAATGTTGATTTATTCATCTAGAAAAAGGTTGGGCATGGATAACTCAAACACAATGGGGGGATGGGCAAATGTGTTTGACCCATCCATAGTTCGAGTTAACAGAATACCAAAAAATTAAAGAGATTTCAGTTGAGGAATGGGAAATTGATTTCCATTTTCCATGCCATGTTTGTGTTATCTGTGCCGGACTGTTTCTTTCTTTTTTTTCTTTTTTTTTTTCTTTTTCTTTCTTTTTCTTTTCTTTTTTTTTTTAAAATCATGTAAGAGCAGCTTATGGTTCAGCTTTTATGGGATAAGTGAAAGTTTTTCATATCTACTCAGAGGGCTATATAGACGCAGAGAGGAGAGGCTGGGAAGCTGCCAACCAACTATTTAGAAATCTTTTGTCTTCTGAATGATAATACGAAGCCGTAAGGTTTGAGTAACATTTTATTTTCGTAGGAAATGGGCCTATTAAATCAGTTTGTTCAAATAAAGGTAAATCGGATTAATTTTTAACTTGTCTAAGCACTCTTATATGGTATGCTGTGCTCAATAGCATGCTGCGGCATAAAAAGTACCTAACTAGTAGAGTCTTGGGGAAGATGTTTTAGTATGTGGAAATTGCAGTATCCCACTTAAAATGTTACTGTCCTTTTAATTTCATGATATAAATTCCTGTAATATTTAATATTGAACAGATATTATGAGCTCCAAATATCTTTTTTACTAGACTGAGTTGCAAAATACTTTTGGTTCATCGACTTACAGTACTGCCTTCCATTGTTCAGTTTGTTTTGTTGGAGACAGAATCCATGTAATTGAACTTTGTATCACATCAACTTTTCATCATAAAGTTTGTTTCATTAAAACATGTGAATTTTACTGATGTCTGACTTTTTGCTTCTTTTTTTTCTTCTCCCATTTGTTTTTGTTGAAATGACATCAATGTCTTTGGAAAGTTGCTAAGGGTATGTAGCGGTATGTTGGGGAAAATTCGGCCACAGGGCAACTTCGGCAGCCTCAACCTAGACTTGGCTTTTGAGAATCATTTGACCCCTGTGTCGTGGAATTATCAACACTCACTTTTATTCGTCGCGCATTTGATTCTATGTTATAATAAAATTTGGGCTTCCTAGGCTTCCACTTGTTTCTATTTTTAGTCAAAAAGCTCAAGAAAACACCCATCCAAGTTCGGCCCTCCATTGCCGCGTACTTTTCGCTCTTGAAGGGAAAAAATTGGTACTTCACCCGTCATTTACTTCCTCATACACGCCTGTTTTCTTGCTTGAAATCTTGAAAATAATCATCAGTTAAATGAAACTTTGGTATCCTTGGGTTCATTTAAATCCGTCTAGAATTAGAAATATTGATATCATATGTGAATTTACATGAATTGTTTAAAGTGATGGGGTGAGATTTTAATGGTTTGTGCAAATTCGACAAAGCGAAATGGGGCAATTTCCACGTAGGCCTACCAGCTTCATAAGCAGAATCACCTTTAACAATCACTTTTCAGTTTAATCTTGTTTGTTAATTATCATTTTCATCTTAGGTCAAAATCCTTGACCAGTCAGATACAAACAAGCAGAAATTTAGACTTTGACTAGACTGCTCAACTGTCACATGTTAGGAGCTAAGTGTGTGTGTGTGCATGTATCATGTGAGGGCGTATCTACATGTGTGCGCACGCTCGTAGAGTGAGGGAGAGGGGGCGGCGAGGAAAGAGAAGTATAGGGGGGGAGAGAGAGCGATAGACAGAGAATTCAGCAGAGAAGAGTTAAGAGAGAGGGGGGGGGGGGGCACAATAAGTTGAATAAGAACCCAATACTGTTGAAGATATCCGCCCCCTGCCACATGCCCTATCGAAGTTTCCAAATGCGAGTGTCGAATTTGCGGCAACCCTTGTCAAAGTTGCCCCAAGCGAGGGTATGCCACAAAACAGTGATTAGTTGAAAATTCGGAATGCAAATAGAGTAAAGAACACAATAATCGAGGAGTAGAATGGCTGCTTTGCACTACTAGATCAAGATGGTCTGTGTTCTTTCATAAAGGCGGGAGCAGTATCGGTTACGGTACTTTTGTGGCACTACGTGAACCTGTCAAAGTTGCCCCAACCTACCCTAGAGTTTTTTAGTCTCTTAAAATCACATCGTTATAGAGCGGAAGGCATCATGTGAAAAAAAGAGTTTGACAAGGTATAAATGTGTCACAACATGGTAGAATCAGGCGCTCATCAGTTTGTAAGCATGGAGTTATTGGTTTCCATTAAGGCTCCTTCATTGACTTTCTTTTGATAAAAGGTACCCATCTATTTTGGATAGAAGTTGACATAGTTAGTTGCATGAAGTCTGCAGCTCAAATCGCAGTTCGCAAAAGAAGTACATGAGAAAACAAACTTTCATAATTGGAGCAACCCTCTCTAAACAGAAAACATGGCTAAACCAAATAAAATGCGGCGGTCCTGCAGATTTCACTTTAAGCACAGACTCCACTGTAGATCTATCTTTCATTTTGTTGCATGACATAAGCCTTTAAAAAATTATGATCCTCAGTGTTGAAAAGGTAGATCTAGTGCTTTATAAAAGGGTGACCTTATTTAGGCCACATATGGCCTAAATAAGCTAAACCCCCCTCCCTTACCTTATTTAGGCCACAGGTGGCCTAAATAAGCTAAACCCCCCTCCCTTACCTTATTTAGGCCACACCTGTGGCCTAATTATGCTAAAACCCCCTCCCTTACCTTATTTAGGCCACACCTGTGG